CCTGAGTAAATGACAGGGCCATGCCGGGTGCTGGGGGAGGACACGCTGGGAAGGCCACACATCTCCTGCCGGGACACCTGTCCCCAGCACCCTCTCAGGTCACGCTTCCCCATGGCGGCCACAGGGAGCTCTTCTGTGTTTCAAACTCCTCTCGGTGGCTGCCCACAGCCCTCAGATGAAGCCCAGAGAGTACACCTGCCACCTGAGGCCTTTTCTGAGCCGCCCCCCCGGGCCGCCACTCTCCAGCACATTCACAGTGTGACGTCACTCCCTTGCTCACCCGGGGCCCAGCAAACTCACCATCATTTACTTCCAAAGCCCGCTCAGATCTCATGCCTCCAAATACAGGCACACGCTGTTCCCTCTACCTGCAGTGCCCCTCCCTGCTTCCTTATCAGAACCAACTCAGAAGCCACCCCCCCCAGGAAGCCCTCCCTGCTCCCCTGGCAGAGGTAGCTACTCCGTGTTGGATCCTCTTCTGGTAGCATCGCAAGCTTCCCCATAGTGCCTTTCACTGTACAGACAGCGTGTCAGGTGAGCACACAGGCTGGTCCTGGGCAGGGACCTGGCACGTGTGTGGACCAAGTGACGGAACGCCAGAGCCGGCCAGAGCCTCTGTCTCCAACCCGGACCCCCTTCACCTGGCACGCAGCTCCCGATTTTGATGCAGGATGGCAATCTGGAGGGCGTCTCATCTTGAAGCTGCCGTTTCCAAGGCCAGCCCAGCTTTTATACTCAGTGTTCACTGGGATGACTGAGGGGGTTTGCTAAAAACAACACCCCTTCAAGCCCCCTCGGCACCAATGCCACCTACACAGGGAAGCCACGGGAGCGCACCGACCTCCAGGCTGTACCTCTGTCGTTTGGGGCGGCACCTTACCCTGCTTACAGAACCCCAGGGGCGTCACACTCAAGGCCCTTAAGAAATCGACCCTGAACACACCACCCTTTCAGACATTTTATCATTGACTTTGCTCAAACTGAACATTAAAACACCAACCACTCGATCCTCCACCAGCACCAAAATCCCTTCCCCGCAGGCCAGTTCGACCCTCTAAAAGGAAGACGTGAAGGTGGCCTTTTCCAGGAAGTTAGCGGGCTCCCAGCCAGAGCTCGGCTTCCCCACCGGGCTCCAGGGATAAAGAAAGGCGGCACAGATGGGTTGCAGTCCTGGAGCACCCCAGACCCAGCTCAGCCTCCTCACTTAGGTGGGGAGACTGAGGCACAGGGGTGGGCGCAGCTGGGGCCTGGGGGGCCGGGAGACGCAGCCTTCTCCTGGCTCCCAGATGGCACAGCCCCATCTCCCATCTCCAATCGCGGTGGGAGGTGGCACTTAACTTGCCCTTGACACTGCCCCAGCTCAGCCATCCCCTCCTCACCCGAGGCAGGAAAGGTCCGAATCTGCTGAGCTCACAGGCTCTCTCCCAGCCTTAGCCAAAGCGGTCGATCGCTGCTGTGAGTAATCACCTTACCAGGTCTGGGGGCCAGTGAGGGGAGAAGGGGCAGAGAGGAGCCAGGAAGCCTCTATCAAAGGACAAAAAGGTCGTGTTGGGGGGCCTGTTTCTGCCCCAGCAGCTCGGACTCCAAGGTAGACCCAGGTCTGGGGAGGCTCTGAAGCTTCTACAGGTTGGGGGGTCCCTCTTTCAGAAAAAGATCTATTACAGATTCTATAAAACCTCAAGTCCACGTGCACATGTTGCGAGGGCCTCTCCGGGGCTGCAGAAGGGGTCGGTGTGGCACAGGAGTCGTCCGGGCCACGGTGGCCAGTCGTCTGGGATTGTGTGGGACCGAGGGGCTCCCAGACACATAACTCCTGGTGCTGAAGCTGGGAACGTTCCAGCAAACCAAGATGAACCGGTCGCCCTAGCCCTGGAGCTTGGGCTTCGTGAGTTTGAAGGCCAAGCCTGATGGCTCCCAGGCCCCGTGATGCCAAGGGGAACCGGGGTGAAGGACAGGTCGCCAGCAGCATTGTCTACATGCTCATCAATGTGTTAAAACATTTCAGAGCACCACGTACTTTTGAAAAAGACTAGAAGGAAACATTGGTCCTCTCTACGTGATGGGATCGCATATGATTTTTGCCCCCCCCTGTTTTTTTTTTTACCCCCTCCCCTGCCATCGTTTTTATTGTGGTAAAATACAACATAAAATGTACCACCTTGGGGCGCCTGGGTGGCTCAGCCGGTTAAGCATTCGCCTTCGGCTCAGGGCATGATCTCACGGTTCGTGTGTCTCCCTCTCTCAGCCCCTCCCCTGCTCATGCTCTCTCTCTCAAAATAAACATTAAAAAATTTTATGAAAAGAATGTACCATCTTAATCATTTTTAAGCATACAGCTCAATGGTATAAGTACAGTGCATTTATTTTTTTTTAATTTTTTAAATGTTCTTATTTACTTTTGATAAGAGAAAGAGACAGACAGAGCATGACCAGGGGAGGGGCAGAGAGAGGGCGCGAGGAGACACAGAATCTGAAGCAGGCTCCGGGCTCTGAACTGTCAGCACAGAGCCTGAAGCGGGGCTCGAACTTGTGAACTCGAACTTGTGAGCTGCGAGATCATGACCCGAGCCAAAGTCAGACGCTTAGCTGACGGGGCCACCCGGGGGCCCCAAGTACAATACATTTATATTGTTGTATGACCATCACGAGTGATGTTTTTATTTTCCAAACGTCAGCAGGGACTACTTTTGTGATCAGAAAAAAATGCAATATATTTTTTTAAGGTGTCACTCAGCCTGTATCAGCTGCCTGTGCTCACATGAAGGTAGTGAGCAGAGCTAGGAGGCCTGGGGGGGGTGGGGTGTGAGGGGGGGTTGGGCTGGCCCAGACGACCTTTATCCTTTCCAATCCTGAAATCCAGGATTCTGACCTCTTCCAGCTCCAGGAGAAGCAATCACTGTGCTCTGGAGTCCCCAAGATTTGGGTTCGAATCCTCTGCCGCTTACATGCTCAGTAACCTTGGGACTCTCTACGCCTCAGTTTCCTCAAGTGATGCAGGCCGTCTGGGAACTAGCCGGGGAACTGTGTGCACACCCCAACACACAGTGGGTACTCCATCAGTTATGCTTCCTTCCTGCTGCTTAGAATGTCTCCCTGCACCCCGATGTGCACACATGTAAGCCCTGCTCATCCTTCAAGGCCCGATTTGATATCACCTTCTCCATGAAGCCTCTCTTGATCCCCACAGCAGGGAGACCCCTCTACTGACTCTCACGGCCTCTGCCGGGGTGGGGGGGAGTACGCGGCTCCGTTCCCAGTAGAACTGTAGGATCCCTGAGCACTAAAGCCTGCATCTGAGTCATGCCGCCTTCCCTAGGGGCCCAGCAGACTCAATGAAGCTTTGCTAAATGAAGCCATCGCAGGCAGAAGTGACCCAAGCAGGCAAGCTGCTCACAGCCCTCACAAAGCCCGTGGCTTCACCCTCTCAGTGGCCAAGGGGCTGGCAAACGGGAGCAGAGCATAGAGCTGCCCTACCTGATCAGGCAGGTGCCCCCCACAGCTCCGTCTCTGGCCAAGGGCCAGCTGGGGTCTCTGAGCAGCTGGAGACTGGCACCGATGAATGAATTCGGCGCCACAAACCTTTACAGGGCTGCTGCCAGGCCCTGTGCTGTCCCTGGGGCTTTCCTGCCCTCAAAGCGCTTCCCACCCGATGGGCACTTGAGAAGAAAGGGGTTTACACACAGCCCCACTTCTTGAGGCACCAAGAGGAGGTTTTAATGTTTTTAGGCAAAGGAGAGTGGCCTTCCTTTCTCTCTGGGAGGCCAGAGAGGAGATAAATACCCAAGCTGTCCCACCCATCAGACCCTCATACTGCCCAGAAAACCCAGAAAGTGAGGAAGCTTGAGAGCCCTGAGGCCACGGCTGACCTCAGGCGTAGCCCCTGACAGTGACCCTGACCAGTGTCCCCAATCCCAAGCCCTTCTGGTGGGGTCCACAGGCACTGGTTCCAGGTCACCCTCTAGTGAGGGTGCCTGGGCAATGGCCAGCAAACCCTAGAGGGCCCCAGGCACCCCCTCCTACAGCAGGCCTTCTTTCCCTGGGGTGCTGTCGGGACCACATGAACCCTTCCCTCTGGGCTCACTGTCTGTCCCCATCCTCCTCCCCCACAACCCCTGGTTGGAGCAGGGAGAGCAGGGAACCCCCGCTGCTGGGGAATTCTGACCCCCCACCAGGCTGGAGATGGGGCAAGCCCCTCTGCTCTCCCCTAATCCTTCTCCCCCCACCCCCCCGCCCCCGCCAAGCATCCAGGTGTACTTGCGTGGGGGGGGGGGAGTGTTGTCATGGATTCAGGAAATATCAGAGCCCACGATGGCTCCTCCCACCTCTCTACAAATCGGGAAACTGAGGCGCGAGAGAGGAGCTGTCTCTCCCCACGTCGGAAGGTAACTCCTCATTTCCCATTAACATTTCTTGGGTGGTTCCCAGCCCAAGGTCACGCAGCGAAGGAGAGGCAGTTCCCTTGCAAGCCAGGTATCCGGCTCCCGACGCATCGCTCCACACCTTCCGGGCTAAGCCAGAAAACCCGGTTTCTGGCCCTGTCCTCCTGGAACGTCCAAGGCAGGCGCAGCGTGCGCCCCGTGAGATGATCCACGCCCTAATCCACCCACACCCCGCCCCAAAACGGCCACCTGAAACCCGGGCTTAGTCCCCACGGCCGCCGATCCGCCCGGGCGGCCGCGCGCAACCCGAGCCGCGAGCTGCATAGCGGCGGCCTGGAGGTCACGGAGATGGGGGGCCATAGGCGAATGGGGGCGCCGGGAATCAAGGGCTACGGCAGCAGGAGCGGGAGCTCCCCGCCAGCGCTGGGACAGCCCCCCCACCGCCAGGGGCCCGGGTAGGAGGGGGTGGAGGGCGCCGGCACCTGGGTAGGACGGCTCCCCGCCGGCTGCGGCACCCATGCCCGGGGTCCCGCTGGGTTGGGGTCCGTCCGGGCGCGCCGCCCTTGCCGGCGCCCCAACCACCCCCCAACCCCGCGCGGCCGGGCCACCAACCGTCCTTACCCAAGACACGACGCGCAGGATGGTGTGCGGCTGCCGGACCAGGGTGTGGGGGTCGAAGGCGCCCCCGGCTTTGCCCGCTCCGTACGCACCCCCTTCCATCGTGGCTGCACCCGCGCGGTGCCCCCCCGCTCGGCGCGCGCCGCCGGCCCTGCGCGTGCGCGGCGCCCCCGCCCCCTCCCCTCCTCGCGCGGTCGGCGTGGCCGAGGGCTCCCGCCAGGGGGCGTCCTGTGCGGAGGGCGTCTGGACGCGGGACGCGGGACGCGCGCGCGCTCATTCGCGGGGGCGCGCGTGCTGCGGACCGGGCGGAGGGCGCGCTCGTCGTTACTGTGGGGACCTCATTGCAGAGCTCCGGGGTGGGTGTGGGGGGTGTGGGGGGTGTGGTGATTGCCGCAAATACGGGACGGCCCGCCCTGCCCCCACCACAGCCCCTCCGAGCCTAAGGTTCTGGTCGAAACCTTCTTCGTTATTGGTTTCCTGTCGCTGTTTGACCCCAACATAGAGGGCAGGGGCCGAGTTTGTCTTCCTACACAGCGGGTGTCGCATGCAGATTTCTCCAGTGAATGAGTGGCCCACGAACGTATAACCCTCCAAAGCACAGCCCCCACCTCTCCCAGGACCTTTGCACCTTGCTTTTAGGCTGAGATCACGTGGGCCTCTGTGGCTGCGCACCGCCCGCCACCCCCAGCCTGGAGAGGCCGAGACACCCGGCACAGAGGCGGAGGCTTAGGAAGGGTAACGAAGTTTTTACTGGACGTACCCCCCACCACACACACACACACACACACACACACACACACACACGCACACACACACACTACCCTTTTCCTTAATTTAGTAATTAATTCCGTAATTATTTGCTCATTGTTTTCTTCTGCTAGCCTCTGCATTTGGCTATCTCATTCGCTGCTGTAGCCAACGTTCTGGCACATAGTAGGTGCTCAGTAAATAGGCCTTGGTCCCCAGAACCCCATCACAGCTTGGGTTAGACATCAAGGGTTCATGGAAATAGGATAGAGTTGCAGTGGGAAGAAGCTTCCAGGTCTGGCTCTTCCCATGACCTGTAGTCATTATGGCCTCTCTCCACCTGCCCGAGTTCCTCTGTTGGATCCAGGATCACGTTGGACAAGGATCCCTGCAGAGGCTTTGCAGCGGTGGTGTCTTGTCATTCTGTGATGACAGGACCCAGATCTGTGCAGAGGAAACGTGGGGTGGGTGTGAGGGCACTTCTCAGAAATATCACCTAGCCAAATGTGCATCTTAGGCTCTGTTTACTGAGGGTTAACTGTGTGCGGCTCAAAACAAACAAACAAACAAACAAAAATAACTACAGCACAGAGTGCAGGGCTAAGGGCTTTACACATGGTTCAGTTTAATATAGCAACCTCATAAGGTAGCTGCTATGATTCTATAAAACTTCTAGAAGAGAGGCGACTGAGTAGCTCAGTTGGTTAATCATCCGACTTTGACTCAGGTCATGATCTCACAGTTTGTGGGTTCGAGACCTGCGTTGGGCTCTGTGCTACCAGTGTGCAGCCTGGAGCCTGCTTCAGATTGTCTGTCTGTCTGTCTCTCTCTGCCCCTCCCCCACTCACATTCTGTCTCTCTCCTTCTCTCTCTCTCTCTCAAAAATAAACATAAAAAAAACTTATAGAAGAAAACAAAAGAGAAATTTTTTGTGACTTTGGGTCGGGCAAAGAGTTCTTAGCTGCAACGGCAAGAGCATGATCTATAAACGAAAACAATTGATAAATTGAACTTCATCAAGATTACGAACTGCTCTTCAAAATGACTTCAAAAGTCATTGCTACAAGAATAAATGAAGGCCAACCACAACCTGGGAGAAGATCTTTACTCATAGCATACATTTGATAAAGAATTTGCATCCCTAGTATATAAAGAATTCTAAAAAGCCAATAAGAAAACAATCTGCTCTTTAAAAAATGGGCAAAAGATTTGAACAGATAACATGTCACCAGAAAAGATATACAGATGGCAACTAAGCGCATGAAAAGATGCTTAACATCATTAGTCATTAGGGAAATGCAGATTAAAACCAGGATGGGACACTTCCACATACCTATTAAAATGGTTAAAAAATTTTTCGTTTGACAATATCAAATACTAATGAGGATTTAGAACACCTGGAGCTCTCGTACCTTGCTGGTGAACATACAAAATGGTACGGCCACTTAGGAAAATGGGTTAGCAGTTTCTTATAAAGGTAGCTTATACATTTATGTTATGACCCTGTAATCCGTCTCCTAGGTATTTGCCCCAGAGAAAAAGTTATGTTCACACAAAACCCTGCACAAGAATGTTTACAACAGCTTTAGACTTGGAAACAACCCAAAAGTCCCTCAACTGGAGATAAACTGTGGAGTACTCCCTGCAACGGAATACGACGCAGGAATAAAAAGGAGTGAACAATTGATACACTCAACAACCTGTGTTATATTAAGAAAAAGAAGCGAGGGGCTCCTGGGTGGATCAGTCGGTTAAGGGTCCGACTTCAGCTCAGGTCATGATCTCACGGTTCATGGGTTCGAGCCCCGCATCGGGCTCTGTGCTGACAGCTAGCTCAGAGCCTGGAGCCTGTTTCAGATTCATTGTCTCCCTCTCTCTCTGACCCTCCCCTGCTCACACTGTGTCTCTCTCTCTCTCTCTTTCAGAAATAAATAAAACATTAAAAAAATTTTTTTAAATAAGAAAAAGCCAGACTCAAAAGACTACAGACTGCATGATTCTCTTTCTTTTTTGCCCTTCTTGCAAAAGCAAAACTGTAGGACAGAAAACGGATCGATGGTTGCTAGGTACTGGAAGTGCAGCTAGAGAGCACATTTTAGGGTTCACTAGTAAGGAGCACGGGGAACTTGGAGGAATGATGAGGTCATTTTATAACTCATTTGTGGGGATGGTTACACAATTAGACTATATGTTTGTCCATAAAAAGGGTGATTTTCACTGTATGTAAATTATACACAGTTTTTTAATTAAAATTTTAAAACGTTTATTTATTTTTGAGACAGAGAGACAGAGCTTGAGTGGGGGAGGAGCAGAGAGAGGGAGACACAGGATCCGAAACAGGCTCCAGGCTCTGAACTGTCAGCACAGAGCCCAAAGCGGGGCTCAAACCCATGAACAGCGAGATCATGACCTGAGCTGAAGTTGGACGCTTAATCAACTGAGCCATCCAGGCACCCCCAGACTCAGATATTCTTGGATGGAAGTCCGGGTTCCCTGCGATAGTCACTGAATCACCTTGGGCAAATGTCTTCACCTCTCTGGGCCTGTTTCTTCATATGATAAATGGAAATAGGCAAAGCACTTTATTATAAATAAACCTGAGGATTATCATCAGGATTAAATGAATGCCTGTGCAAAATATACTCAGAATAGTGCTTGATATAAAGAATAAGCTTAGTGAACATTTTTTTAATTAAAAAATTTTTTTACTGTTTATTTGTTTTGAGAGAGAGAGTAAGCGGGGAAGGGGCAGAGAGAGGAGGGAAAGAGAGAATCCTAGCTCAGAGCCCGGACTTGGGGCTCCATCCCATGAATTGTGAGAGTGTAACTTGAGCCAATATCAAGAATTGGATGCTTAATCAACTGAGCCACCCAGGTGCCCTGAGCTGAGTAAACATTGTTGGTCACCCCATTCTGGTTGGTTTTCAGGGTATGTACAATAAGGTATATAGGCATTTTCGTAGAAGCACGAAGTTACAAATGCTGGGTAGGTTTCCAGGGTCACACATGAATCTCTAACTCAATACCTATCATCGCAGGCTATAGAAACAACCTCCTCTTCCTCTTGCATTGCTTGTGTTTACGATCCTTGTTAACAGCAAGGCCAAAGAAGGAAGTCAGGCTTTTCTTTGCATATCAAGGTTTTGCAAATCCAGAGCTTCTTGACTTTGCCCTGCCCACTAATTTGAGTTCCCAGTCCGGCCGGATCTGTAACTTGCCTCCGGTTTCTCTCTCCTGCCCCCTTGAGGCCGCTTTGGTATGGAAGGTGTTAGGTCTGTTCTCTGCGGGAGTGTGGAGTTGCCAGGGCAGAGGGACAATGCGTTCGTTGGCTTTGAGCGGATGAACCACGGTAGAATTATGATCTTAAACATTTGCTGCAGGTGTTTTTCCGGAGAGCTGCTTGGCAGTGCTTTAGCTGACAAGGCAATCCCATTCTTTTCTCAAGGACGGGATGGAGGAAGTACCCACAGATCTAGTTAGCTCAAAGCCTATGTACTCAATTCATCGAGTCATTTGTTCAACACACATGTGACACAACTGTGTGCCAAGTTGCTGAAAACCCTTGGGATCCAATAGCACAGCGCATCTCACCTGAAAGATCTCATTGTCCAGGGGAAAATATAACCTAGGGTGGTGGATGAACTATGGCCACAAATTCTTTGATCTTCCTCCCACGGAAAGCAGGTGGTTCTGTCTCCTTTGAACACAGGCAGGCCTGGGATGGTGGAGCAGTTGATCAATAGAATGACATTTTTGCCATTTTTCTGGCCCAGGCCTCAAGAAAACATCAGTGTTGGGGAGCCTGGGTGGCTCAGTCGGTTGAGCGTCCGACTTCGGCTCAGGCCATGATCTCGCGGTTTGTGGGTTCGAGCCCTGCGTCGGGTTCTGTGCTGACAGCTAGCTCAGAGCCTGTTTCAGATTCTGTGTCTCCCTCCCTCTCTGACCTTCCCCTGCTCATGCTGTCTCTCTCTCTCTCAGAAATAAACATTAAAAAAATAAAAAAAAAGAAAGAAAACATCAGTGTTCACTTTTTCCATCTCCTGGAACACAGCCCTGAGCTGTCATGTAAGAAGTCGGACGATGTCAGGACCACCAAGTCCTCACATACCTACCCAGGGCAAGAGTCCAGCTGAGCCCAGCCTTCTAGCCATCGCCACCACTGTCCCCAACCCTCCAGACCGACCTACGACCTCAGCGCGACCGAGTGACCACAGTTAGTGCCACCTGGGAAAAAAAGAATCACTCTGTTGGTGTCCAAGGTCCTGAAGCAAAACATCACAACATAAAATAAAATGGCTGTGGTTCACTCCACTGAATTTTGGAGTGATCTGCTGTGCAGCAATAGATAACGACCGTAACAAGTCAAGAAACACTTCTGCACCAGACACAGAGC